GAACTAATTTGATATTTATCGAATAAAGCTTTATCTAGAGAATCAATGGATAATCTAAATTTTTGCATTATGTGTAAATTTTATTGATATAATAATTCGCACTGACATGTTTTTATGAACAGTTTTGTTTTTGTCCAGAGTATTTTTTTTTTCTATTATTCATATGTATGTTTTCATTGTACATTTTTCAAACTATATTGAATGAGTATGTTCTTATTTCTCTTATACATCATTAGAAGAACATGTTCTATACACAAATTTATATATCAATCAAAATGGTTGGATGATAAAAAAAAAACAAAACAAGACATTCATCATTCAATAGAACTGTCTCGTATTTTTTTTTTTGTGTTTTTTTTACATATACATCAAGCGTTAAATGCTTACGGTTGCTTGATACAATACGCCTTAACATCCGTCGGCTATTCATTCACTTTTCTTGTTATAACCTGGGCTTTTTTTTTACTCTGTACATTTTCTTTCTCTTTTTTTCCTCTGTCTCTCTTTCTCTCACCATTTTTTGTTCTCTCTACGTTCCAGCTGAAAAGGCAAGCTATATAACATACCGCAAACCTCAAATTATAGTGTTGTGTCTCGTCATTTTTCTTCCTTGTTTTTACCTATAAGTGGCTGCTAATGGCAACTGCAATCAGTTCTTTTACACCCTTTACATTTAATCAACAATCATTTTTTTATCCAACATTACCATCAACTTATCCGGTATTATCATTTTTCAATAATTTTAATTTTCCACAGCAACAACAAATACAGCCACAGAAAGAACAAATACAAATTCAACCTCAGCAACAACAACAACAAGCAACACCAATTCAATATGTCGATTCTGGAATGCGATCATTACGTCCTCGTCGTAAACCTCGTATTTATCGAGAAGTAATTGTATTACCAACACCTGAACCAACCTATCGACAAGTACGATATCGATTACCAACACCCGAACGAAGAGTTGTTGAACGTACAGTTCTTCAAAAAAGAAATGGTGAAGTTGTTGTTCGAGAACAACGACCAAAAACAAAGGCAAGAAGTCATAGTCGAATAGACTATAGTTCAAAAATGGAGTCACATCATTCTCGACAAGTTCATACTGATTAACTAAGAACAAATATTTATCCTAAAGACGAATTTGTCGTCTTTTTTCTTTTTATGTTATAAATGTTAGATATACACTATCATTTTTTTTTTATAAGTCTAAACGAAACGAAGCAGAAATAATTAGAAAATAGAAATATATATTATTCACAATTTTTTTTCAATTTATTTACTATTATTGTCATAAATCATATACAAGTTTAATTACATTTTTTTTTTTTATGAAGCGATTATATTAGACGATTTATAAAATAACACAAAAAAGTTTGTTATTGACTATATTAGTAATATATCTATTGATGTAGATATCGTACATTAATCTAATCATAAAAAATAGTGTCCAGTGACCATGAAATAATGGGTGTGTTTGGTGAAATATAAAATTATATAGATGAGAGACGTTTATCATGTCTGTCAGTCATGATGATAGTACAGATATAATGACAAAAAATATATTGATATTATTGCATTCATATCGACTACTGTTTATATCAATGAAGAATGATAATCTAAGAAAAGACTTATCCTCACTACGAAACTAATAGTTTTATTGAAATTAATAATGAATTGTTTGGGAATTTATTAATCTTGTACAATTTAACTTTATCAAAAAAAAAATTAAGTTTTATTTTTTTGACAAAAAATCATTTGCGATATCAGTCATCATTTTTGGTATTAAAGATAATACTTTTCTAATATTTCATTATATTTCATTTAGACGTGATACGAACAACTTCAGGAATAGTTTGCTCTAGACTGGGACTAGAAAAACTTGATCCTATACGTCTCTATGTCTGATACCTACTAATGCTGGATTTTTTTGGAAGTATTAACGACTATTTTTTGAATAACTTTTCAACAACACAAGTTACAGAGGTCGGGTTTTCACCGTTAGAAAGAGCAAGGCGGGGGATGTCAATCTGTATAAAATTCATTAGGTTTACAAGTCTTTTGTATGATTGTTTGCAGTGAAATATCTTATCGGTTGTCTATTTTCATAAGTTTTCATAGTAAGTTAACATCTAATTGGACCAAAACGTAGCCCAAATTGTCCAATATTTGTGCTAAAATTTCCACATTTTAATATCAAAGCGTAAGGGAATAAACGCAAAGATTTGAAAATTTTTAGCACACATACTGGACAATTTGGGCTACATTTTGGTCTAATTAGATGTTAAGTTATTATGAAAACTTATGAAAATAGACAACCGATAAGATATTTCACTGCAAACAATCATACAAAAGACTTGTAAACCTAATGAATTTAATACAGATCGACATCCTCCGGCTCGCTCTTTCTAACAGTGAAAATCCGATCTCTATAACTTGAACCGTTGAAAAGTTATTCAAAAAATAGTTGTTGGTACTTTAAAAAAAATCCGACATTCGTTTTGGGAATAAATCTATAGAAAATATTGTTTCTTACGTAAAAGAATAATGAAAAACTCAAAAACAAAAAAAAGGAACTCATTTTTATTATTTCTCTATTTTAATATTAAAAAATAATATTCTTTTGTATGTATAAAAACAAAATGTTGAATGAGTGCTGAGCAAAAATTTATTTATTTCATGAAGAAATATATGGTATGTTTATTGCATTATAAGAAACAATTTGGCGCACAATATTGTATGTTTGAGATATGAATTAAATGTTAATATATTGTTACAACTGATTCAATTGTTTTTGAACTAAGATCTGCACTTCAAAATATTATTAAGATTAATAAATATTCATATTTGTTGTCTAAAAAACTACAAATGCTCCAATGTTTGGTTTATATAGATGAAGCAAATATATACATACTAGACCTCGAAACGGGCCGTCAGGCCCGGCCCAACGAAATATTTTGTCGGGTCGGGCCGCCTTTTCTCTCGAACCGTCCAGCCCGACGATTTTATCCTTTTTTGACATAAATTTTTCTCAGATTTGGCTCACTCCTGAGGGAGAATAAAGGGAAACTTCATGCTACCCTCCTTGGCCATCACTTTTTATAAAAGTCGAAAAATATGGAATAGTTGTCTATTGAGAAAAAAAAAATCTTCGTAAGCGAAGTTTCTTTCGGGCCTGGGTTCGGATCTGACTTCATGGGTGCTACTCTGAAAAAAGTGCCAATTATAAGTTAATTCTTATAATATCACGATCGAGATTGCTTCAGAACCGTTAAGAGTGTATTCCTGGGAGTTATGAGGTGCGAATTAAAAAAATTTCATTCAGTATCAAGAGTACAATTCAGGACCGGATCCGGATCCAAAATTTTTGGATCCGACGAGCTCTACCGGACGAGTCTAGGACTTTCGTCGGGTTGAACAAATGTTGAGGCGGATCGAGCGAGTCTAAACAATGGTCGGGCTACTTTGGGCCGGGCTGGGCCATAAAAAAGTAGCTCGATTTTGAGGTCTGATGGATATTATTCTATATTTGTATTTTATTCTAAAGAGATCCTAAAATTTTAATGATAAACATTTTGATTAAATCAAAACTAAAAATAAACCAAAGTTGCTTTATTAAACAGTTGAAAAATAATATGAAATTAGATAAGACAAGTGAACTTTCGAATTTGAACTAGCTTTTGATGTCTGTTACACAAAAAAATTCAAGTCAGAATCTAATGTGATACTTGTTGGGTAAGGCAACTGATAATCTACAATAATGGTAGCACTCATATTTGGTAGCAAGGATAATTGAATGCGAAATCAGCTGCTGTATAAATGAAATTCCATTCAGTTACAATCCTACTAATTATAGCTTCTAGTTACAATGCGATAGTCTTATGTGAGTTCTTATTGGCTACATAAATTGTTTTAACACATAGATCAGTAGTCAAACAATAGACAAAATAAATTTGAGACGACAAATAATCACAACCATTTCTGTCAGCTACTAAAGTGCAAGTCATAGCTGTTAGTATCCACATTTTCACATCACAACTCGAAGTATTGACACAGAGAATCCAAAATTTAAGTGCCGAACAATGCACTAGTAGTAAATAGATTGAAATAGTTAAATTGATTTATTGTTTATTGGTCATTTTTCAATTATCTACAGCATGTATTAGCAGGCGACTAAACCGAGAATAAACTGATACATAAATAGCTTGAAATTGTAAACCGATAAATTCGATTGAATTGCAAATAGACCGTACAATATTCTACTATCTTGCATTATTTACACGAGTGTCTTTCTTTTTTTTCTACAAAGAAACTTTGATAAATGTGGTTATATTCAATAATTGAATATTTTTCTTTAATTTCGCTCGAAATATTTCATAACTGTATTGATGGTATCTTCGAAATGAGTACATAAGAAAAACGAGACAATATCAATGACATCTCATTATGAGATTTTGTATTAACTATTTATTGTTAGTTTTTTTTTCATTAGTTCATATTTCTTTACAATGATTACATTTCTATATAATTCTATTTGTTGCGATGCCTGAAAGAAAAAACAGAAGATATTGATAGACTTGTTCTTTTATTTATTCGTTGACTTTTGAAACTTTTTATCTTAAAAGTAAAGTTCTAAAAAGGTTTTATAACGATCAAATTCGTACTTTTTCTAATATCGATTTCTATAGTGGAAAGGAATAAGTTAATGAATGATTGCTTATTATTCTGTGATACCCAACTATCCAATGTATATATGTGAGGTATCGAATCAATCTATATCATAGATGAATTTTTGCTGATCAAACTCTTGGTATATGAATTTTTTAAAACTCTTATTCATCATTTAATATCTGTATACTGTTATTCTTATATATACAAAATTCAAATCGATTCTATTTAGTATTGTTTGCCTGAAAAGTAAATGGAAGACTGTACATATTCATATTTTATTCCTTTAAAAACAAATGAGATCATCAAAATTTTTCTATTATAAAATATTCTGATCTTTCTAGATATGCTTTTTTTTACTAAAATCGTGCATTACTTCATATAAAGTCTCTAGTATAAGCGATGTAACATTTTAAATCTAGAGTGGATTCAACAATCTGTATAAGATCCCCACTTGGAAGTTAAGAATACAAGCGAACAAACCAGGGATAAAGCCGGTACCGGTGTGTCTTATTTATTTATTTTCCTCTCATTATCTTACAGAGAATGTATAATGAAACTTTGACTTCATCAAATATCACTAATCACAGATCGAATAGTACGACAACTCGTCAGTTTAATATTGATATAGATTTCAGACTGGTTCTATCTGAAGGACAAATTATATTAAACTATTTAGATGAAACACAATTCGTGGTTCTTTCTTTTGAATTCACATTTTGCATTGCATAAAGGTGGTACGGTTCAGAAGAAATTCGCATTCTGCATCAAAAATTAAGTACTAGAAGAAATAGGCTAATATTTGTTTTTATAGTAATCTGACGAAATAGGAGACAAATGTTTGAGTTTACTGAAGCATCGTTGCTACGCCGCCTATGGTCTCCATTTTCTCATAGACATCAGAAAAAAAAGTCATGAAATTCTTCATATCTTCAGATGGCACTAGTTTACATTAATTCGTATTCATTGCTCTATCATTGGTGGATCTGTGACGATCCAATAATAAAAAAATGATTACACTGTCATACGTGGTACGTTTAAGAAAAAAAAAGACAGAAATTTTTACCTATATTCATTTTTATTCTATTAACAAAACTGATGTTTATCATATATATATATTTTTTTTCATATGCACATTTTTTTTTAATGATTATTATTTCGTTACTCAAGGTCTATTCAATTTCGCTCATTATAAAAAACGTGACTACTCTCTCCGGTAAACAATAAGCACACATTTGAAAACTTCAAAGATAAGAATTATTGATTTGTAAATATATACTTTCCGAAAAAAGAAAAGTTTTCTGTTAGAAAATTATTACGTTTCTATACAGCAGTGAATGTTTTCTTTTTTTGTAGAAGTTATTTTATTATTGTATTATCTTTGATTCTGACGAAAATAGATATCCTCTAATTTCAAAAAAATATCATACAAATAACCATGAGAATAGATTACAATCGATAATATAAACAAATCGAACATATCGTGATTCATTCTTGCTAGATAATATCTATTAGAGTCTTGCTCTTATCTATTGTAGATTTTAGAAAAGAGAGCCAATCATAGCCAAAAAACATGTTTTGAAATCCATTAAAAGTTATGTTGACTTATTTTTGGACGTTTTCTGCTGATGAGGAAAGTCTTCCAACTATTCAATCGAGACTGTGTCCATTATGTGGATTCAAATGAGTTATGAATACCTTGAAAAGTGTTCATGCTCTTAGCTTATTGCTACGGAGATACTGCATTTTAAATAAATATTGTAGTAACAGAAAAACTAATTTTCGAATTTCGATTTGAAACAGATTTTAACGAGAGTAGTTTCAAGTTTTCTGGATTTGCTTCTATCCTGAAATAAGAACATCAAATCTGTTGGTTAATATATGTGATGTAAAAAATACATTATTACTATAGTTGTATCGTAGGATAGAATTCAAGTCGAAATTCGAAAATCAGTTTTTCTGTTACTGCGGTATTTATTTAAAGTGCAGTATCTCTATAGTAATAAGCTAAGGACAAATATCATTTTCAGAATATTCATAATTCATTTTGATCTACATTAATGCATATAGTTTCGATTGAACAATTGAAAGACTTTCTTCATGAGAAAAATACTTCCGAAGGGGAGAACAATCGCTCCCAATGTCTCTCCTCTAAATCCATCACTGTCAATCAATCTTTTGATACCGTTCAAATATATACATTCAGTTCTTTTTTTTTTACAATAATTTCAAAGTTGAATATAGATCATTTAGAATAGTATCAGACATGTTTTATATATGTCATCCTTAAATCTAAATCTTTCGATTTATATTTGATAATTTCTTCTCGAGACAATAAACTGAAAACGCAAAAATAAATTCATATCAAAATTGAGATAATTCTCATTTGTCTTTTGTAAAAAAAAAACAAAATGTTTACTTTTTATATTCTTATCTTTATCTTAAATGATGACGAAGATTTTTTTTTCTCTCTTACTTATTTTCAACACACACACACACACACATCATGGCTTTTTTTTTGTTTTATAGATTTCTCGATTTTACAGGATTTATTATATTTTTCAATAGAATTTATTTTACCGTACTATTCATTTTTTTTTTGTTTTTGTTTAAGATAATTTATCGTATTTGATTGTGCAATAATGAAGTGGCCTATTTGTGGACCAAAATTATCTTTATGTTGTTCGATTATATCAGTATGGGGTATAATACAATTTATATTGTTGGGTATATTTTTTTTTATTCAATCAGCTCCACTAATAGATGATTTTGATTTTGAAAATAAGAATGCAACTGATATCAAAGTATTTGAAGAAAGTCTTAAAACAGCTTTTCATCAACGTGCTTTTAATTGTTGGATTGCAGCATTTCTTTATGTTGGTTTATTAGTATTTGCTGGTATACAATTTAGAACTAATTTAAAACTATCATCATCATCAACATTAAATGTTCCACCATCTATTACATCACCATTTATCGGTGTTACAACAGATCCAATGGATCGTAATCAACAATATGGAATACAATTTAATAATGATCATAGTGAAACATAAAACTTCCAATAAAAAGAAAAAAAATTTTTGTTTTTTTACACAGTGACATTCCTATAATCTTTATTTTATTTATTGATATACTTTGGTGTTGGTTGAGATAAAATTTCTTGTATTTGTATAACTTTCCAAACAAAAAAAAAGCAATATAAATAAAGCATTTATTGAAAGAACAAAAATTTGATTTACTATACTGTTCCGTCGATATTAATACTAATTTTTATTTACAGAATAACTTTTCTCTAATATTTGTATTTGTCGCAAATTTTTGTGAAAAAACTTTAGTTTTTCAGCACTATAATATTTTAGCTATTTCTCTTGCTGCTAATGTCAATTAGATTTATACAATCTCTTTTATCATTTTTACTTAACAGACAAACGTTTATTTGATTACTGATTAAGTTAGAGAATAAGGAATCATACTCAGAGAAACAACCACATGAAAGAATCATCTTTGTTTGATCAATATAATTTTATGCATGATTGTTTAAAGCCTTCCTCAAAAAAAAAGTCACCTTTCGTCAGAATGATCGAAATTAAAGTAAATGCATAGAAAGATAGCCCATGATTTGATCTTTCATAAACGACAAAAATTTTTGAAAATTTCTTTCGTTTTAAGAAATCGTGGAGGCACAACTTACGAGGACATATACCGAAATGTTTGATCGAGACTATATTTAGGTAAATGGCCATGATGAGTAGTGTAAAACCTTTAGAAGGCTCGATTGCCTGAGGCTCTGTTCTTGAGATATCGAATTTTTACTGCATTGTTAACAGAAAGATGTAGTTCTTCTCAGGTCACCATGAAAATCGAACTTCGACTTGAAACTTTCCAAAAATGAAGCTTTTCAATGGCACTAGCTCATTGTGAAAATTTTACTGACTTTTAAGTATTTGGTATCCTGATATAACAATACATGAAGAATAATTGCTTTGTTATTAGAAGATGTTTTAGTACTTTTATCTAAGAGTCGGAGATGTAAAAATCAGGACATTTTTAATAATGAGCTAGTGTCGTTGAGAATTTCATTTGTGGAAAGTTTCGATTCGAAATTCAATTTTCATAGTGATCTGAGGAGAACCATAGCTTTCTGTTAAAAACTGCAATAAAAATTCGATATCTCAAGAACAAAGGCTCCAACGACCGAACTCTTTTAGGCTTTTACATTACTTATTATGACTTTTCAGTTGAATATAGTCTCGAGTGAATATTTTCAGTAAAAGATCTAAATGATTTATAAGTTTGTTAGTCTAACGTTTTGTCTAAATATCAATAGACAAATTTGGTAATGCATTATTCTTATTTTTAGACGATGACTTTTAACCTTTTTTGACATACTACTAGTTATTTTCTTACATTTTTCCATATATTAATAATTTTTTATTTTATATCATGTTATGAATTGAATTCCTATTTAATTAAATCTTCTCGAATGATATTCCGCAACTTTTTCTATCAGCCATGTATCATCTACTAGGCTTTGGAGCTGTTGAGAAAATAAATCTAGGTTACTGCCAACATGATAGAGGATATTTCAAAGAGTAAACTTCATGGAATAAAAATGTCACTGTGGAAAACATTTGCAAGCAAAAACATGTGGCTCCTATTAAAAAAATGTAAGATGAAAATATTTATTTAAGATTAATAAAATGACCAGAGCCAGGGATGGGCGATGACTTCCGAGTCGAGTCGAGTCGAGTCAAGTTAATTTTATTATTTTTTTTTTTCTGTTTATTTGGCTAAAGAACATTAACAATGAGTTTTTCAGAAGATGATGTCTAGTTCTTAGTTTTTATGCACAAAAAGAAGGGAATAATCCTACACAAGATAAAATGGTATAGCTACTATAGATTTATCAACAAAACCGAACATCAAGACGAACTCTTCTCTTAAATAGAATTCCACACCAAAATCACAAAAGGCTCATTTTTTTATGAGCAGAACATGAACTTAAATCTGTTTACTAGCAAAATTCTACTATGTATATTTAGTTTGCAGAAAAAATTTGTTGTAGTCGCAAAATTGTCTAACTGCGAAATGATCAACAAAAAATCTCAGTATTTTATCGCCAATTTCGCCGAAACATAAATTAATTAAAACGGAACAAGGTGTTCCAATAACTGCAACTCAACTTTTCTAATCTTATTTGATCTTGAATACGACTGTGGCTTATAACAACTTTATATACCAAGAGAGACTGACAAGTCGAAGCCGTAATTACCACAGAAGCTAATCGATCAATGTACTTACTACACAATACCAAAGAGAAGTTTTTCATGTGAACTTGTTCATCTCGAGATAGTGTTAAATTAGAGAATAAGTCATTTCTTAAATAAGATATGCCAGGCACTCTTGTGCAAAATACTTATACTACTTCAATCAACTAATCAGCTGAAGGTAAATTCTATATTAGAAAACGGATAAAAGGAATGTATTTTTAAGTAATCGACGAAAAGTAAATCCTCAAAGGTGGAAATTTTATCATTTTATAAAGGCGATAATTAAAATTGGAAACAACCTATGAAGGCAAATCTACAGAAAATAAATCGTCGAAACCACTCGAAATACTTTTTCTATTTGTTATTTTTGTTTTCAATTATGCTAAATTTGCTGATCAAAACACTAATTTTTTGATAATCATGCCGCAGTTAGACAATTTTAGTGATTAAAGCTCAGGTTTTTGGTGTTTAAAAAAAATGCTTACTCA